GCTTCCTGCCTTGCTGCGTTTGGCTTCTTGCTTCCTGATCCTTGAACCTCGGCTTCTTGACTCCTTGCTTCTTGATCCTCGGACCCCTGACTTTGTGACTCTTTGCTTCTTGATCCTCGGACCCCTGACTTTGTGACTCTTTGCTTCTTGATCCTCAGACCCCTGACTTTGTGACTCCTTGCTTCTTGATCCTCGGACCCCTGACTTTGTGACTCTTTGCTTCTTGATCGTCGGACCCCTGACTTTGTGACTCCTTGCTTCCTGACCCTCAGACCCCTGACTTTGTGACTCCTTGCTTCTTGATCCTCGGACCCCTGACTTTGTGACTCCTTGCTTCTTGATCGTCGGACCCCTGACTTTGTGACTCCTTGCTTCTTGATCCTCAGACCCCTGACTTTGTGACTCCTTGCTTCTTGATCCTCGGACCCCTGACTTTGTGACTCCTTGCTTCTTGATCGTCGGACCCCTGACTTTGTGACTCCTTGCTTCTTGATCCTTGGACCCCTGACTTTGTGACTCCTTGCTTCTTGACCCTCGAACCCCTGACTTCTTGACTCCTTGGTTCTTGATCCTTGGACCCTTGACTTCGTGACCCCTTGCTTCCTGACCCTCGGACTCTTGGCTTCCTGACTCCTGGCTTCTGGACCCCCATTCCTGCTCCCACGCCGCCACCTTGCCCCTGGTCCTGACGTCCCCTGCCGGGGCTTCAATCGCCCGTGAACCGGACCGTGACAGGATCTCTGGTGGGGGACTTGTCACATTCCTTCTGAGGTTGTTTGCCCATCTTTTGTCCCCAACCTGCACTCAGCTCTCACCTGTGGCTCCCGAAAGCTGTCAGCATGAGCCAGCGGCCACAATCCTGGGAAATGGCTTCGGCTGGCCGGCTAAACCAGGTGAGGAGAGCCGATGGGTCTCGAACTCTCGGGGAGTTAGGGGCTTCCCCTGCAGCGAAGTCAGGGCTCCGGTCGATTGAGCAGACAAGACCAAGACTGGGTCCAGCAGTCAAGAAAGCAGTTTCCGCACATGTTGTAGAGGAAAGTGCGGCGCTCATCTCGCTTTATTGGCTGAGGGAGCCGGCGTACAGCTTCTGGGTCATGTGGCCAGCATGACTAAGCCACTTCTGGCGAACCAGAGCAGCGCCCGGAAACGCCGTTTACCTTCCCGCCAGAGCGGTACCAGTTACCTGTCCCCCTGTTGCTAAAGGTTTGTCCTTAATGAAAACTCGCCCAAAACATCTAGACAGTGCCTCATCTGTACACTAGGGGGCAGCAGCATTCCAAGCAATCTTCAGCCCCGATTGACATATGTCAGTGTATTTTCTCCTGCTAGCCAGTGGGATAGCCATATTTTTTTTAGGCCCCAGTGGTTTTGCATTCAGAATGCACAGGCTGATACACCAGCATTTTAATGAGGGCGCCAATACTTGCTGCAAACAAATTTATGCAGGGTTTTATTCCCAAGTATGCATGGAACCCAATACATCATCATCATCATTATTTGATGGCACAACTGTGAATTGTGCACAATAATTTCTTCTCTCTCTTTTTCATGGGAGAGGAAGGAATCACACACACACCCTTTTGCTTTTGAGTATACAGTGGTACCTCGGGTTACATACGCTTCAGGATACATACGCTTCAGGTTACAGACTCCGCTAACCCAGAAATATTACCTCGGGTTAAGAACTTTGCTTCAGGATGAGAACAGAAATCATGCTCTGGTGGCACCGGGAGGGCCCATTAGCTAAAGTGGTGCTTCAGGTTAAGAACAGTTTCAGGTTAAGAACAGACCTCCAGAACAAATTAAGTACTTAACCCGAGGTACTACTGTATTACACAACCTCGAGCTCCAATTGAGGTGGAATCAGGAAATAAATAAGTCAATAAATCAATAAAATGTACCTAAAGGGAGCCCTACTCACTGAGCCCAGTATCCTGTCTCTGTTAGTGGTCAGCGGGATACTTACATGCTTACTCTCACATAAATCTGAAGGGAACCCCCTCCTGCTGCACCTATGCTTTGGATTAAGAGCCCCCTGTCTCATTCTCTGCCCCCAGGGAAGCCTTCTTTGCCCCCATTCCAGCCCCACTTTCCACTCAACCCCTCACGTGCCACCTTCCTTAAGAACATCACAAGAGCATGATGGGTGAGGCCAATGGTCCCTCTAGGCCATGTGTAGGCAACCTAAGGCCCAGGGGCCGAATCCGGCCCAATCACCTTCTAAATCCGGCCCGCAGATGGTCTTGGAATCAGCATGTTTTTACATGAGTAGAATGTGTCCTTTGATTTAAAATGCATCTCTGGGTTATTTGTGGGGCATAGGAATTCATTCTCCCGCTCAAAAAAAATAATAATATTCGAGCCCCCCACAAGGTCTGAGGGACAATGGAATGGCCCACAGCTGGAAAAAATTGCTGACCCTCGCTCTAGGCCAGCATCCTGCTCTTGCAGCGGCCAGCCAGACGCCCATTATGGGAAACAGGATTCGAACACAAGACCAACTCTCCCCTCCTGTGATTTCCAGAAACAGGTTGTCAGAAGCATCCCTGCCTTCCCTCGTGGAGGCAGAACACAGCTATCCTGGCATGGAAGTAGCCAGGATTTGGGGAGGGCAGAACCTCAAATTTGCACAGTGGTACCTCGGGTTACAGACGCTTCAGGTTACAGACTCTGCTAACCCAGAAATAGTACCTCGGGTTAAGAAATTTGCTTCAGGATGAGAACAGAAATCGTGTGGTGGCAGCAGCGGGAGGCCCCATTGGCTGAAGTGGTACCTCAGGTTAAGAACAGTTTCAGGTTAAGAACAGACCTCCAGAACGAATTAAGTTCTTAACCCAAGGTACTACTGTATTGGTTTTTATTGATTTTGATGATGATGATGATAATAATAATAAATTTATTATTTATACTCCGCTCATCTGGCTGGGTTTCCCCAGCCACTCTGGGCGGCTTCCAACAGAATATTAAAATACAATAATCTATTAAACATTAAAAGCTTCCCTAAACAGGGCTGCCTTCAGATGTCTTCTAAAAGTCTGGTACAGTGGTACCTCGGGTTAAGAACTTAATTCGTTCTGGAGGTCCGTTCTCAACCTGAAACTGTTCTTAACCTGAGGTACCACTTTAGTTAATGGGGCCTCCCGCTGCCACTGTGCGATTTCTGTTCTCATCCTGAAGCAAAGTTCTTAACCCGAGGTACTATTTCTGGGTTAGCGGAGTCTATAACCTGAAGCGTCTGTAACCCGAGGTACCACTGGAGTTGTTTTTCTCTTTGACATCTGCTGGGAGGGCATTCCACGGGGCGGGTGCCACCACCAAGAAGGCCCTCTGTCTGGTTCCCTGTAACCTCACTTCTTGCAATGAGGGAACCGCCAGAAGGCCTTCGGAGCCGGACCTCAGTTCGAATCCTGCTTGCGGGTTTCCCATGATGGGCATGTGGTTGGCCACTGTGAGAACAGAATGCTGGAATAAATGAACCACAGGCCTCATCCAGCAGGCGTTTCTGATGCAGTGACGGATGATGCCCATCGCTGCCTCCTGCGGGCGCGCGTTCCGCCGTTTAACCGTGCGCTCCTTTCCGCGCTCCTTGCTGCTGCTGATTGTGATCCGGAGCCGGGATCCGCCTCGGGTTTTCGCTCCCACTCCGGGAGCTGCGGGTCCTGCCCGAGCCGAGCCTCTCTCTCCCCCTTGCTCCCCCCGTGGGGCGGTGTGGGGTGGGCTCAGCCCCGCATTGCCGGCGAAGGAGGAGCAGGGACGGGCTTGCACGGCGGCGGTGCCCATCCTCACCCAACCCCTTTCTTCCTCCTCCTTGCAGACCTTTTCCCTTCTCAGGGCTCGCTGTGGGGAGGGGGCTGCTTGAGACCCCCGTTCCCACCCCCGGAAAGGACCCTGCCCCATCGCCGGAGCGCCCGCTGCGAACCTTCCGCGCCCGCGCGCATCTGGGCGCATTTGGCACCGCATCCCTCCGTCCATCTCCGCGGCTTCCTAGGGCTGAAGAGGAGCCCCTGCCCCCCATCGCCGCCGCCTCTGGGTGCCCCCCACCGATGAATCTGGGGCGCAGGGGCCATGCCGGGGTGCTGGCAGCTCTACGCCGTCCAGTGGGCAGCGCTGGCCCTTCAGGGCGCCTGGCACAGCCTCCCGGGGGCCGCCCAGGAAACCCCCCTCCACTACTATGGGGACAACGGTGAGTCCGAGATCCTGGCTCTCTCTGGGGGTGGCACCTCTATTTTGGGACCCCCTGAGAATCGGGGATCTGGTTCCTGAACCGCAGAGGGTTGGGCTAGATGACCTTTGGTGTTCCCTTTCAATTCTACGGTTCTCTCATTCCACGACCCTCTTGGGGACAGGTCCAGGAAACTTTTCTTCCAGAGCCTTGCTGGATTAGTCTACGCGTCCCTCTCCAGGTATTTGGGGTCCGTTCATTCACATGGCTTTACGGTTTGCAAAACTGGGTCACAGTCTGTGTTTTCCTCCGGTTTCTAAATCCTGAAGTAGTAGCCTGGCGCCATCCCCGTTCCACGTTTTTAAAGAAATCCATCTTTTCCTGTGGAACTCCCTGCCACTTGGACATCCAGCCAGGCGTCTCTGCTGTGCTCTTTTCTGCGCCTGCTAAAACAATATTCTTTTCTTAGCCAAGTCTACCCAGATATCTTGAATGTGGATCAGTGTGTTCAAATCTGCTTTTAGTTTCTTGCTTCTCTTAATTTCTTGAAAGAGAAATTTGGATATATTTCTTTTGCCCTTGGCTTTGAATAAGTTATATTTTGTATATTATGAATGTGACCTGCCAAAACATCTTGACACTCGTCTGCATTCCCTCTTTATATTTATTTTTGAAGATGTTACACCTTTATTTTTGTTAAATATCTTTTTAAAGTTTATGTGAGATGCCATTGAGGGAGTGTCTTCTCATGACAGATAACACTGTACAATCCTATATACAGGCGAATAAATTCTATTGGTTAAATGGATGGCAGGGTTTTGAGGTTGTGTACCTCTTTGGAAAGATTCCTGGCTCAGTGCTAGAGCGTCTGCTTGGCATGCAGAATGTCCCAGATTCAGACCCTGATGGTCTCTCCAGGCAGGGCTAGCACAGGCCCCGCCTGAAACCTGGCTGAGCTGCTGCCAGTCCGTGTTGGTAACACTGAGCTGGATGGACCAGGGCTCTTCCTTGATGCAAGGCAGATCCCCATGTTCCGCATTCAAAAGACACTCAATTTTTAAATGTGGCAGCATCTACACTGCGGAACTCCCTGCCTATTGATAGCAGGCAGGCAGATTCAATTTCACTTTTTTTCGACGCATGCTAAAAACATTTTTGTTTAGACTAGCCTCTCCAGATGTTTACAGAGTTCGTGCAAGCTCTGTTTTTGGCCTATCCTCATTTTAACTTCAGGAATGCATTAAATTATTGTTGCCGTTTTTTCTGGGTGGTAATTTTATTGCTTTATCTTATTTTGTGAAACGCGTTGAAGGTTCTTTTTTTATTATTGAAAATAAATACAATCAAGCCGTGTACACATTTTACGAAATAAACAATAAATGTTCCCACGAACTCTGAGAGGGAAATTGAACGTTTTCCTTTATGGGATTCAATTTTACTGGAGCCCAAACTGGCCCATTTTGCACTTAGATCATAGAGCTGTGGAATGGGAAGGTAACCCCAAGGGTCATCTAGTCCAACCCCCTGCAACGCAGCAATCTTTTGCCCCATGTGAGACTCGAACCCACTACCCTGAGGTTTAGAGTCTCGTGCTCTACCAACTGAGCTATCCCAGTAACCAGACTCTTCTTCAGCGGCTCGATGGAAAAGCAACTGTTCGCATCTCCTCTTTGCTAGAGCACATGAGGCAGAACCTTCCTCTGCCCTCTGGGTTCCCCTCCCTGGGGAAAGAGGCAGGATCCAGCCAATTTTGCATTTAAGAGCATTCTTCTTCCCTTCCCGCTGGAGTCAATGAAACTTCAGACTGTTTCGCGTTTCCTGGATCAGGCACCAAAATAGCCAATTATGCCTGGACTGGAAAGAGTGGAGAGCAGTTTTCCTCGCTCTCCTGAATGTTCAAAGACGCAGGACAGATAATAATAATAATAATAATAATAATAATAATAATAATAATAATAATATTTTATGTATACCCCGCCCTTCCCGGTTCAAAAACCAGGCTCAGGGCGGCTAACAACAAATTTAAAACACTTTAATTATAAAAGCAGCATAAAATACAGTATAAAAACATGATTAACAATAAAATTCAAAAATCAGTTTTGGGGAAATAAGCATTAGATAATCCCCAGGCCTAGCTGGCTGAATTGGTCCTACTTGGGCCAGCGAGGAGACCAGGGGAGAATTAGTTGTGGGATCCCAGAGCGGGTGATCTTCATAAAAAGGGGAAGGGGAGGGAAGGAAGGGGAATAAAAGATCAGGCTAAATTCAAATTGAAAGCCAGGCGGAATAGCTCTGTCTTACAGGCCCGGCGGAAGGAACTTAAATCCTGCAGGACCCTGGTCTCGTGGGACAGAGCAGTCCACCAGGTCGGAGCCATCACTGAGAAGGCCCTGGCCCTGGTGGAGGATAATCTGACTTCCTTAGGGCCCAGGACCTCTAAACTATGGTTATTCATGGACCTTAAGGTCCTCTGCGGGGCAGACCAGGAGAGGCGGTCCCGTAAATACGAGGGCCCTAAGCCACAAAGGGCTTTAAAAGTCAAAACCAGCACCCTGAACCTGACCCAATACTCCACCGGGAGCCAGTACAACTGGTAAAGCACTGGGTGAATATGCTCCCATGGCAGGGACCCCGTGAGGAGCCTCGCTGCAGCATTCTGCACCCGCTGGAGTTTCCGGGGCAGCCCTGCGTAGAGCGAATTACAGTAGTCAAGCCTGGAGCTGACCGTCACATGGATCACTGTGGCTAGGTCGGGGTGGGAAAGGTAAGGGTAAAAGGTCAAGGTAAAGGGACCCCTGATCATTAGGTCCAGTCGTGGTCGACTCTGGGGTTGCGGCGCTCATCTCGCTCTATTGGCCGAGGGAGCCGGCGTACAGCTTCCGGGTCATATGGCCAGCATGACTAAGCCGCTTCTGGCGAACCAGAGCAGCGCACGGAAACACCGTTTACCTTCCCGCCGCAGTGGTACCTATTTATCTACTTGCACTTTGATGTGCTTTCGAACTGCTAGGTTGGCAGGAGCTGAGACCAAGCAACGGGAGCTCACCCTGTCGCGGGGATTCAAACAGCCAACCTTCTGATTGGCAAGCCCTAGGCTCTGTGGTTTAACCCACAGTGCCACCCGTGTCTCCATAAAAGTAAGGGACCAACTGCTTAATGGTGTCTTTCTGGTTCCCGTGGCTTGTAAACAGCTTTACAGTGCAATGGGGGGAAAGAGGTACGAAAATATTGGCAGCGGCAGGGGCAGGGTTTCACTTCTGTCTTTTCTCCGTCCACTCACCCAACTCCAGGCCGAGAGTTGACCGCATATTCCAAAGGCCACTCCGCGTGCGGGGCCTAGACGATCTCTCTCCTCCCCCCACATTCCAGTCTGCCTCCCCCCAGTTCCATTGGAGCAGCCCCAGCTGTTCTTAATTAAACTGGGATCAGGAGGGGTTTTCTGGGAAAAGAGCCCAGGCACTGCTCAGTCCCGGCCGAGCTCTCGACAAAGGGAGCGTTGCCTTTTGCACACGGAAGTTATGTGGGCCGGGGGACGCATCTGCCCGCAAATGATGCACAGTGACAGCCCCGGACTTTGGGGGGTTTTTTTGCAAATCCAGCAGAGGGACCTACGAAGGGCATGCACAGATGTGCGCCCAATGTCACAGCTGGCTTGGGAGAGTCTCCTTCACCATCTCTCTCGCGCACAGGGCGCCACATCGATGTGGCAAGCGTTTCTGCCGCGCGGACACAAGAACATCGGAAGAGGCCTGCAGGATCTAGTCATAACTGTCAACTTTTCCCTTTTCTTGCGAGGAATCCTATTTGGAATAAGGGAATTTCCCTTTAAAAAAAGGGAAACGTTGACAGCTATGGATCTAGTCCAGCATCCTGTTCTCACAGTGGCCAAGCAGATGCACAAGCAGGATTCGAACGCAAGACCCCTCTCCTTTCCTGTGGCTTCCAAAATCTGTTGGTTTTTTTTAATAAAAAAAATTATTCATTTTTCTTTTTCATTCATTACATACATCTCAATTTCTTAACATTCACTATATATTCCTCTCTCCCTCCCCTCCAGGGCTTTCCCCAACTTCCGCTTCTGGTTTGTTTCTCTTTTCACCCACTTTGCTATCTCCTAACAGAAAAAGTTATTAATAACATAACATCAAGCCTAAAAACATAAAAATAAAAGTAAATACAGTGGTACCTCTGGATGCAAACAGGATCCATTCCAGAGCCCTGTTCACATCCGGAAGCGAACGCAACCCGTGCAAGCACGTCTGCGGGTCTTGATTCGCCGCTTCTGCACATGCGCATGACGTCATTTTGAGCGTTTGCGCATGCGCGAGCGGCAAAACCCAGAATTAATGTGCTCCGTTACTTCTGGGTTGCCGTGGAGCGTAACCTGAAAATGCTCAACCTGAAGCACATTTAACCCGAGGTATGACTGTACAGTATAATATTTCACTATTTTCTAAACATTTTCTAGTACTAATAATGTGAATGTTTATTTGAATCCTGCCATCAAGTCTATTGACTTCCTTTGTTTCTGCAAATATAATATAAACTGTTCCCATTCTTTTTCAAAGTCACTGTTGTCTTTTCCTCTTAATCTGTCATTTTTTGCCAGTTCTGGATAGTTCATCAACTTCTCTTGCCGTTGTTCTTTAGTTGGTATTCCTCCAGTCTTCTGATTTTGTGCAGTCAACGTTTTCGCTGCTTGCAGTGGCATACATATATAAAGTCCTCGTTTCTTTTGGTATGTCTTGGCCTAAAATACCTGGCAAAAAAGGCTTCTGGTTTTTTGCTGCTTCCAAAATCTGGTGGTCAGAAGCATTGCTGCCTCTGAGCAGAGTAGCCCCTTCTGATCCTCTTTCAAAGACATCCAATTTGGTGATCTTCACTGCCTCCTGAAAGAGTGAGTTCCACAGTTTAACGACGTGCTTCACAAATGATAGAATCATAGAGTTGTAGAGCTGGAAGGGACCACAAGGCTTCACCTGGTCCCACCTCCTGCAATGAAGGAATCTTTTGCCTAAACGTGAGACTCAAACCCTCAAGCCTGAGTCTGGTGCTCTGCCAGTTGAGTTAGAAGGACTGTCTTTTATCTACGGGACCGCCTCTCCTGGTCTGCCCCGCAGAGGACCTTAAGGTCCATGAATAACCATAGTTTAGAGGTCCCTGAGGAAGTCAGACTATCCTCCACTAGGGCCAGGGCCTTCTCAGTGATGGCTCCGACCTGGTGGAATGCTCTGTCCCAGGAGACCAGGGCCCTGCAGGATTTAACCTCCTTCCATCGGGAAGGAAAAGAGGGAAGACGGGGTGCAGCAAAGGGGTTGGAGGGGAAATACCAACGGGAAAAGGGATGGAAAAATAATTTAAAAAATAATAATTTATTATTTATACCCCGCCCATCTGGCTGGGTTTCCCCAGCCACTCTGGGCGGCTTCCAACCGAATATTAAATACAATACAGCGTCAGACCTTAAAAACTTCCCTAAACAGGGCTGCCTTCAGATGTCTTCTACACGTCAGGTAGTTGTTTATTTCCTTGACATCTGATGGGAGGGCGTTCCACAGGGCGGGGGCCACCACCGAGAAGGCCCTCTGCCTGCTTCCCTGTAACCTCGCTTCTCGCAATGAGGGAACTGCCAGAAGGCCCTCGGAGCTGGACCTCAGTGTCCAGGGTGGACGATGGGGGTGGAGACGCTCCTTCAGGTATACCAGACCTGATCATGTACTGGAATTTTATGCGGCATTTGTGGAAATCTAATAAAATGTATTTGAAAAATAAAGGAATAGATAAAGAGATATTAAATCTTCCTCCTCCACCTCATCAACACTCCTGCTCTCTCTTTTTATTTTTGCAGTCATTGACCTGCTGGAGGCCCTCAACGTCACCCGCTCTGTCGTGGGGGTCACCAAGGCCAAGGGTCCCG